GTGTTTACCACCACTGCCTGGCTTTTTTTTTTTTTTAATTATGAATGTAGTGTTCTGTCTGCACACCAGAAGAGGGCACAAAACCACCAGACCTCATCATTATAGATGGTTGTGAGTCATTATGTAGTTGCTGGGAATTGAACTCAGGACCTCTGGAAGAGCAGCCAGTGCTCTTAACCTCTGAGCCATGTCTCCAGCCCCCATTGAGTTAAAACCACTTTGTCTTGTTTCCTAGTTTTAAAGTTGGATGACCACAGAACTTGGTAGCAAGAGACAGCTCTGAGGACAGACGCCCAATTGGAGAGCTGTAAGTCTGAAGAGAGACTGGTTTTGGCTTTCTAGAAATTACAGACATGTCTATAACATTGGATTGGAAGGCCAGTGCAGCTCCACCCTTCTTCATTAAAGCCTGATCCACAGGGAGGTAGGGATTTAAATAGCTACCGAGGATGGCTTAACTAGTACCCTTCAGGACTCTGAGAGAGCAGAAAGTTATCTATATTGGTGCTTCTTATACTTTTCCACTTGGCTCCTTTTTGCCCATGAAATCTTTAGGTAACATGGGTATAAAGGCATATAAAGCTATATAAACCAAATATTTACTAATAAAAATCATAAAGAAGTTTCTTATTCATGTTTCAAAGCTGCCATTAGTTATTAAGACATTATGATTTATCACCTTCACATCTTCTGGTGAGGACTGAGTATTGTAGCTCAGATGGCAGAGTGCTTGCCTCACACATGCAAAACTCTGGGTTCCTTTTCTTTTTTCAAGAAAGGGTTTCTTTGTATAGTCCTGGCTGCCCTGGAACTTACTCTATAGATCATGCTAGCCTTGAACTCATACAGATCTGCCTACCTCTGGAGTACGGGGATTAAAGGCATGTGCCACCACTGCCCAGCAATCTTTCCACAATAAATCTTTTTTTTTTTTTTTTTTTTTTTTGAGACAGGGTTTCTCTGTATTGTTTTGGAGGCTGTCCTGGAACTCACTCTGTAGACCAGTCTGGCCTCGAACTCAGAGATCCGCCCCGCCTGCCTCTGCCTCCTGCCTCCTGAGTGCTGGGATTAAAGGCGTGTGCCACCAATGCCAAGCTTCCACAATAAATCTTACTCCACAGAGTTTGTCGTCCAACTTGCTTTCCTGCTGGTGAAGGAAGTTGCCTGTACTCCCTGCAGTGCTTGGCAAATTAGTAAACATTGAAAGAAGAGACTAAAAAATGTAATGTCTAATTCCAGCTGTTTCCTGAGGACCTGAAAGCTGAGAGTCCTTAAGGATGAGGACTTCAACTCTAGTAGGATCCAGAAAGCTTATGTAATTATTGAGGCACAAGGAATATATACTTTAGAATGAAGATAGACCATGGTCTTCCAGAATAGCAGATTTCTGTTTAAAAAACTCTAAACCAATAGTTTTATCCATGGGAGATAGGGATTCCCCTGGAAGAATAAGAGTCCTTGTTTCTTTTGCATTTTTAGTGTAGATGATCCTGTGTGTAGTTTGTCAGCTTTTGTCTTTCCCATTCCTTGCATCCTCACAGGAACTTCATTTAGATTTCCATTCTTGCTCTCATCTTAGCTGGCTGTCAACAATTCCCTAATTAGTTACTGAAACTTAATAGATGACCTTTTCTTAAAACAAACCAGTTTTTCAAGGGGGACTATGAGTTATTATTGCAGCTAACTGAAAAGAATGAAACAATCCCAGTGGAATAGAAAACTCCCTAAAGTCTTAACCATTTAGTCAACTGTCCGCTTTGTCTTCTTACAAGTTCACTCTGGCAACAAAAAAGAATGTTCAGAGCCAAGTTGTAGTGTACAGCCTGTGCCAGGCAGAGATCAATGCACAAACTCTGATCTGCTTGTCAGGTTCAAATCCTAGGTTTTTTACTTACCAGTGTGTAATCCCAGGCAAATAATAACACCTCAGCTATGTTTTCTATCTCATCGGATGTTGTGTTCAAGTTGATAATCATGTCAAATAGCTAGCACAGGCCTGACCCCCTACTGGGTAAATGCTATCATTGTTTCATTCTTGCATTGGAATGTCCTAATTTCCTCACAGAGGCACAGATAACTTGACCTATAGCCATTTATTTTGTAGGAAGGTTGCATCACCCTGTAGTGGACAGAGATTTGGGCAGGCTAAGACCTATTTGCTGTGTCTATTGGGACTTGCTCCTGATGGATCTGTTTCCTGTCTATAAAATGGAGACAGGCAGGTCTTTACAGAGTTGCAAACAGGAGTGTGTCTATCTACCAGAGAGGTAAAACCCCTACTGACTTGGGCTGGTTATAAGAAAGCAGAGAGTGGTGGAGTTTACAGTTACCAGAACATTTCTACTCAGGAGGGTGGTGGTCTTTTTTTTTTTTTTTTTTTTCAGGACTGACAGAACACTGGAATCTGTCAGAAACAGATCTTCAATAGACCCATATCCGAATTTTAATCAGAATCTGCACTGTTGAAAGATCTCTAGGACTGGTAAGCACAGCAAGTTTGTGAACAGGTTACTATGTGAAAGCATTCAAATTCTTTCTTTTCTTTTTTTTTTTGGTTTTTCAAGACAGGGTTTCTCTGTGGCGTTGGAAGCTGTCCTGGAACTAGCTCTGTAGACCAGGCTGGCCTGGAACTCACAGAGATTCGCCTGCCTCTGCCTCCCGAGTGCTGGGATTAAAGACGTGCGCCACCAACGCCTGGCTTCAAATTACTTCTTAAAAAATGTTATAGAGCTAGGTAGTGATGACAAACACCTTTAATCCTCGTAGTTGGGAAGCAGAAGTAGGCAGATCTCTGTAAATTCAAGGTCAGCTTGGTCTACAGAGCTAGTTCTAGGACAGTCAGGGTTACACAAAGAAACTATAAGAAAAACAAAACAAAAACCAAACCAAAATGTGATGGAGATGAAGAGATGGCTCTTGGTTAACAGCACCTGCTGCTCTTTTAGAAAACTCAGGCAGCAAGACTAGGAGCTCCAGGACAGCCTGGGTTTTGTGAGACCCCCATTTAAAAAAGACATAGTGAAAACAATGTCATTGAAATAATCAAATGTTGGGTTGCATCAGGCCTAGATGCCTGACAAATAGCCACTGTAGTTGGCTACAGTGATGCCCACTTTTAAGAGTTTCTCTTCCTTTTGCTCTGGGCATGAAAGTATGTGGGAACACCAGACCTTGAGCAGAGACCCACTTCCCCTTCTGCCTGGGAGTAGGCAGCTGTAAGACAATGTTTAGTAAAAACATGTTTACTAAAAACGATACAATAAGTTCCTGGGAAAGGCCTTCCCACGGAAACCGCCCTGACCTCGACCTTGTCAAAAGACTAACTGCACCTTCAAAACCCACACACATCCACCTCTGGGGTCAGAGCAGAACCAGCCAGGGTAGAGGAGAAAGCAGAAGCTTCTCTGGTGGGAGCCTTTCTTAGGAAGTTTTTCTTGAACCTTTTTGGAGCCTGTTTAAAGTTTTCTTTACATCATTGAACAAGTCTCTGTGTTGTCAATCCCCGACACCCTCCGCACGTTCTCGGACACAGGCCGCGCAGCAGACGTGACAAAAGTATGTAGCAAAGACTAAGCTTGGGTTGCTTAGAACAGGCCATTCCTGTGGCACTTGGTGCTCAAGTTGTTTGCTCAACTCCCTGCGTTCTGACAAGCACTTATTAACTCTGCTTGCATACAAGCGAGGCCCCCTGACCCAAACCCGAGGAAGTGGTGGTGGTAGTTTTACCCACCAGCAAAGAAGCATCATTGGCTGTTAGAACCAGCATTAGTCGGGCGACCACATTCTGGAAACGCCGTTAGTTCCTTTATATTCTCCAATGCTTAATGACTGTTCTCCATTTCTCTCAGCACCTCCCAACTACTTCCTGGCAGCTCTGGGGACAGACAGTTTTTCCTTCTTTTGGACACAGAAGCCTCAGACCTGGTTTCAGAACGGATATCCGGCCCTCAAGGCCCAGAGGAGGCAAAGGCCTCATTGTTCCCTGGGGCCTGGCAGCCCCGCCCCCAGTCTTTAGCATTCTCCTCGCCAGACCCCAGGTGACCGTGAGCCCGTTTCCCAGGATTCAGGGGGCCTTTGAGTGGAGAGGAGCTGGGACCACATCTGCAGTCCGACGTTCTTAAAGTGTAAAGAGCTAACTGTTCCAAGATAAACAAGCCTGGAATTTGAATACTTTTCCACGCCGAGAGCCGGGGCTGGCCTGGCTTGTTACTCCCACAGCAGCCTCACGTGTTTTTAGTAACTCGAACACAATGAGTTTGGCTATAACGAGAATCGTGGAGTTGCGGGCCCCGCAGGCTTGCGAAGCTGCTCCGCACGCGGGGATCCCGGGAATCCCAGGCGCCCGCGGTTTGAGTCGTCTAGACACGTCGCCGCCAGGGGGCGCTCACACCACGCAGCCAGGGACCGGCCGCCGCCGGGTCGCCTGGGCTGGCGAACCCCTTCCTGCCCGGAAACAAAGTGCACCTTTGTCAGCGACCTGGCGCGTGTGAGCGGCGGACGGAGGCAGCGCGGGACCCAGGGGCTCCCGCGCCCTCGCCCTCGCCCGGTCTCAGTTCGCACCTGGGCCTCCCACACCAGCGTCCGCCGCCGTGGCTTGTGCTCTCCGCTTTCTGGGATCTTGGCGGGCTGAGACTTCCCGCTCCGCCTCGGCTGAGTCGTTTGATACTCTCCTGCGGGCCAGGGCTGGGCTGCCTGGGCTCAGCGCCATATCGGCTGCACTCCCTCTCCACAGTCCCCGCTCAGAAGCGCCCCCGCCTCGTCAGGCCCGGGACTACAACTCCCAGCCGTCCAGCGCTCAGAGAGCGCGGTGGGAGGTGCCTCCGAGCAGGCGTCTGCGCGGTCCCGGCTCCAGCCTAGAGTACCACACCCCCGGGAGGGGAGCGAGGGGAGGCTGAAGCATCCGAGGCATTAAAGCATCCGCGGGAGCCGGAGGGGAGGAGAATGGAGTGACAGAGACGCGCGGAGGGTGGGGGTTGGGGGGGAGACTGTTGAGGGAGGGGGAAGGGGGGACACAGAGGGAGGAAGAAGCGGCGACGGCGGCTCCTCGGTGCAGAGGGGGAAACTCCGCGGGCTCCGAGCAAGAATAATGCGGTAGCAAGGCGGGCTGCTTGCTCCCGACTCTGGCTTAAGCGGCGTCAGCCCGAGCAGCGGCAGCGGCATCACCCCAGGCGCTGACAGCTCCGCCGGCCGGCTCCCTCGCAGACTGCCGACTGTCAATGGAGCTGGAAAACATCGTGGCCAACACGGTGTTGCTGAAAGCCCGGGAAGGTAAGCTCGGGTGGTCCGGTGCGTGCATGGCTCATTCGCCGCCGGCCGGGTTGCGGGTGCCGAGTGGGCAGCGGGCGTGCAAGGATGCTTGCCGTTGAGTTGGTGCTAGCGGTACAGCTCGGAGATCTGTCTGCAAATGTTGTGGGGCGGGAGGCGGGGGGGCTTGGCCCTTCAGCTCAGAAGATTAGGATTGGGGCAGAGACGGTTGCAGGGACCAGTTAAGATGCTAAAATATCCTCTAGTTTCGAGCTGAACCTTAGAGATCGTGCGATCTCCGCAGTTGTTGAAAGGTCAGTTAGAAAAGCATTCTTTCAGGAGAAAGAGGCAAGGAAATGGGCCAATAAAATAGCCTCTTGAGTTGGCCCGGGATGGTTTTGAGAGTGTGAACTCATTTCCACCCCCGGTGTGTGTGTGTGTGTGTGTGTGTGTGTGTGTGTGTGTGCGTGCGTGCGTGCGTGCGTGCGTGTTGTATGTTTGGAATTAGCAGAAGCCAAGTCTTTGCTTGCGCAGGCTGAGTTGATAAAGACTATTGGTGGGAATCATCCTCTGGGAAAATTTCTTAGGGAAATACCGTCGTCCTGTGGAAGAAAGCCTTTTAAAGACAAAGTAAGATGTTGAGGAATTAGCCAGTTTGTAGAGTAATGAAAGGGTGGCTTTACAAATCACTGAGAGAATAATAAAAAATTTCAGGTTGGGTTGTTATTAACCACCCCCACCCCGCGGTGGGTAATTGTTCGGTTTTGACTCAATTAAAGGTAAGTGTGTTGCTGTTTAGATGCATTTTGTATGCATCTTACTAAATCTCCTGCATCTAACTGTTAGGAAATACCGTTCAAGTGGAGTGGACAAGATCCTTAGGAATACCTGTTACTATGTATTCAAATTTGACTCTTTCTTGAATTGAAAAAGTGCGTGTGGGGGACAAAAACTTAGATGTCCTAAAAGGTGTAATGAATGTAAGCATACATATTTAGGAAAACTTGGGTTTTATGTAACATTTTATTTGCCAAGATTTGGAATCTGGTGTGCAACTTTTTTTGTAAGAAGGGGGAATTTTTCTTTCCCTTTTCTGAGAGGTGGCTGTATTTGATATCCAGGGCAGACTGAGTAAGGTTTTTTTCTTTTACAAGGATTCTCGTAAGCAGCCCATGAAAATGCCATCCCTACTTCTTAATATTTTCATTCACCCATTTTGATGAATGAAGGAAGAATTTCTGGCCAGCAATAAAACGCCTCGTGTTTATCCAGCCCATTCCATCACCTTCTGGCTCCGTACATGGTGTGTGCAGTCGGTAATTTACAGCCCTCCTTTGGGCTAGGTTTCAGCGACTCATCTTGGCCTTCATGTTGTACGTTTAGGTCACTTGTCCCCCTAAAGCAGCCACCTTGAAGGCTTGTTTTGGAAGTACCCAAAGGAGGCAGTGCTCTCTGGAAACTGAGTTTCAAAAATTCAGGTCTTTCTCCTCTACTGTCCTTCACTCAGCTTTTTTTAGTGGGGGACCTATCACTACTGTTATTAAGGTGACTTTATAGGTTTTAAGACCCTAGATTTTTATTTTTGTTTTGTTTCCTTACCTCCATTTTTAGTGAAGTAGAGCTAGGTGTGGAGTGGAGGCGCTTCTTTGGGTCTGAGGTAGAGAGGACTCCAGCCTGCAAGCCTTTGTGTAGCCTGCCCGCTCATGATGGGATATGAGGGTACATCTCAGGACAGGGGTTGGGCAAATTGATTCTGAAGTCAGCTTGATTATTTTGATAATTGACTCTGCTGATTCTGAAATTTTCCTTCTTTTCTCCTTCCTTCCTTCCTTCCTTTTTTGAGACAGGGTTTCACTGTGTAGCCTTGGCTGTCCTGGTGAAATTAATTCTTGGGGGAATTTCTGGGTATGATGGTCCTGGAGGCCTTTGCATGTTTTTACTGATTCCTTCTATTGCTCAGGGAGTCGGCTCCCTAAGGATTTGGTAGGCTACACATTTGTTTATTCTTCTCTCAGCACTGACTCCTTTATATATGTTTCACTTTGTTGGAAAGTTTTCCCTCCTCCCTGGTTTTACTGGCTGGTATTTTTGTGTCAGGTTAGAATATAGGTTTATCCGGGGTCTTAGGGAAGAGATCTGTGGACTGAAAGTGTATGTGGAATGATGGATTCCCATTGGGGATGAATTACTGTGATTAGAAGTGCTCAAGAATGTGCCCTTTGCTTTTTTCCTTTTAAAGTCTTTCAGTTTTTCTGTGAGAGTCCAATAGACATCTCTTGGTGAGAAACAGCTTTTGAGAATGCCTTCCAAATGCGAGGGTTTTGTCTGCAAGGAAACAGAGAGAGTGACATGTGAGTGATAAATTAATCATGTACATGGAAGCTTCATTTTAAAATTTGTACTTAATTCCCCCCTTTATGTCTAAAGAGAATCAAAAATTTTAAGTGCTTCTATCCAAAAAAGGCTGGGACTTTATTAAAGTTTTGAGCTTATCCTGATTAACATGGAGGAATCTAGAAATAAACACACTTAAAGTGGTCATATTGAATTTAGTAATTCTCCAAATAATTGTATTATCTAGGTATTCAGAAACGAATGTTTTTTGTTTTTCAAGAAAAGAAAGGCAAGGATATACATAGTGTTTTCCTGGCATGCACCAAGCCCAGAGTTTGATTCCTAGCTTGGAATAAACTGGGCATGATTGTACATGCGTGATGTCTGAGTTTGAGGCCTCCTTAGTGTACATGGAGGGTTCTAGGCCAGCCAGGACTCTGCCTTGTGGGATTTGCTTGTTTTATTTTCTCTTTTTGCTTCTTCCTTTTCTTCCTTCTGCTTTTCTTCTTCTTCTTCTTCTTCTTCTTTTTTTTTTTTTTTTTTTTTGTTTTTTTTGTTTTGTTTTTCGAGACAGGGTTTCTCTGTGGCTTTGGAGGTTGTCCTGGAACTCGCTCTGTAGACCAGGCTGGCCTCGAACTCACAGAGATCCGCCTGCCTCTGCTTCCCGAGTGCTGGGATTAAAGGTGTGCGCCACCACTGCCCGGCTTCTTCTTGTTCTTTTTAAATTAAAAAAAAATTGGAGATACAGTCTCACCGTGTATCCCTACTAATTTACTGTGGCTCAGGTTGGCCTCACAAAGAATTGCCTGACTCTAAGTTCCACTTTTGTGGAAGTTGTTTTGAAATAACAAAATATGGAGCTCTAAGTTCAAAGTGTTAAACCTACTGAATTATGTTGTGTGACTTGTGTATTTGTCCTGATTGTGTGAGAAAGTATTAAGTTGGTTTTGATCTCTCTTAAGAACTTTAGCTTTCCTAAGGAATGGTTAAGTAACAAAGAAATAAGTTGACAGAATTCATGCCAATTTATGAAAATGAGCTAAGTGATTAAGCATTTAATGAAAAAGGGACCCAGACCAAGTTCTTCTATCTATTTACATTTCAGAATCTTGGAAAATTGGCAGTCAATCTCCTATTGAAATACTGGTAGAGAGTGAGAGTGTTTGCATGATGCCTTTTGTGTATTTCATTTTGATTTATTGTTGTAGTAAAAGTTGTGCTTTCCCCCCCCCCCCCACACACACACAACACAATCTAGATCTGAACAGTACTGGTGAGAGGAACTTTGCAAGGAATTACCTTTCTTTTCTTCCCAGGCTATTGGTTATAGTCCTATCTGATCTCAATAAAGACCATGATTTGGTCTTTGTTTTACACATATTCTTTCTTTTGAGTTCCTAGCAAGTGCTGGAATGTCATGACTATGCAATTTGTCACAATTTCTGAAAACCAGATTGTACAAGAAACTTTTCATAGATAAGACTGACTTTTTACCTGTATCTGTCTGATGATCAAGATTAGGGACTTGGGAGAAGGTGAACCTCAGGTCTGGGAGAGGCCAGAGAGGCTAGCAGGAGGAAATGAGCCAACATCTAGAGCTGGGAGAAGTAGGGTTTGCCTTTGATAGGCTTGGCATTCTATGCCAGATTGGAAGCCTGCTTTCCTCTTGTGTCCTTAGCTCCTGATGCTGGAGCTGAAACATGCTTGCGCTAAGTTGTCAAAAGATTGGGTACTTCTGAAGCTTATAGTCCACTACAATTCTGAGGAGGCACAGTTCTTCTGCTCAAAGCTTCTTTCTTTAATCTGAGGATACAGAAGAGTGACAGCTTTCATCCTGGCAGCTGGCATGTGTGAAAGCAGCCTGGCCTATTAAACACAATACTGTTAAGCTGTTAAATGAAACTGCCTCTTCCTGTAATTTCCTTTTTAGTACCTTCAGCACAGAGATAGAGAAACCAAAAGCAACATTCAGAAGTCCTGACTTTCCAACAGAAGGCTTGCAAATGATGACTGTGCTTCATCTAGCTGCCTGTTTTAATAAGTGTCAGATAAAGGCCCACAAGACTCTCATCTTTAAGTTGTTCAGTTGCTGCTTGTCAGATTCTAAACTATAAAAGATAGTGATCTTCCAGTGCCCAAACTAATACTTGTTTAATTTATGTCTTCAAAAGCCAGAACTCTTGTAGTAGCTTGCTAAATGATGGCCTTTGGGTCTACACTACAGGCTTTAAGAAGCCCAAGTTGGTTTCAGAAATGGGTTCTACACATGACCACATTTGCTTTTTCCAAGCATTGTTCAACTCTCAGCCTATGCCTGGGGACTGTCAACATTATGAAATCATCTAGGCCTGTAAACAGGATTCAGAATTAATATTTGATGCCAATAAATTTGTGACTCAAGATAAAACTTAATACCTACACTTTTTTATTTTTTTTGACAGATTTGCCGGCTATTCTCTGTGTAGCTTCAGACTTGGAGCAGTCCTCCTTCCTCAGCCTCTTAAGTGCTGAAATTACACATGTGAGCCACTATGCCTGGTTATAACATCTACCATGGTTGAGATTTATTTTTGGAAAATGAAGAGAATGTTGTTCCTTTAACTCTCATTCAGACACTGGAAGACACATTCCATTTATATAAATCATGCTATTTAAAAAAAGAGAGAGAGAGAAAGCAATAACTTCCTGAT